AAGCGGTAGTGGTGCAGTGGAAGTAATGCCCTCAAACATACAATCCGGTGATAGAAACCACACCGGTATCCTCCCGTACCAACCAAACATTCATCGCTTTTCCGACGACACTTGTTATTAGGCTATCTGGGGAAATAAAGGGATTGATTTGTGCACTAGCTGAGCCACCGTATGTCATTGTGTAGGCCACATACGCATTCAAACATCGTTACAATTTTGAATGGAAGTAGAATGCGTAGAGCATCTTAAAAAAGGTTTTCTCAAAGCGAAACACTACTGACTTGACTTAATTTTACTCTCATCTTATACAACTGTTTATCCCTTCAATTTGGCAAATGTTACCAGCAGAATGCATCCTTGATGCTCCCTGTACCTGTACCGTAGCCTGAAGTATCCCTCCCTTGTTTACTAGCTCATTCCTTGTCTTCCTCAGAATATGGCTTCTCTTGTAAATTTTTACATGAATAACCTTCCCGAAACCTTGTCTTTATTGAAGCAAAAGCAGCATCAACAGTGATTTTTTTTTCGTGATGCTAATAGATGAAAAACGATCTTGTGTTGTTTGGTCTCTTCGTTGGGCTTCACACCATCACTATAGGATCATAACTTACGTTGCATTCGAGAATCTTGAGGGCCACTGGAACTCGAGTTCATTAGAGGGCAGCACGGTCTCGGGAAAAGAATTTTTCGTTGGAGGCCTAATCACGGTGTACTAAATGGTATTTTGCCATGATNACCCCACATAAGTATTCGTTCCACTATCGAGCCCCTCTTGATTAGTACGCCTCCAAAACCAATCGAAGTCTCCAATCAAGGTGCACGAGATCTCAGGACGTTGATAGCTCTCGGCTCAAGTCGGAGTTTTGATCCTATCAAACAGGTTTACTTAAAAAAAGAAGCCTATCGAAGAACTTTACTTTAAAATAGAAGTGGAGAATGGACAGGAAAGGGAGAAACGAATGGAGGGTAGACAAGTTGGCAAGTTCTCAGTTCTAGAGTACACTATCGTATGAAGCATTTGTGGAAGGCAACAGAACAAAAGATTCGCAGTCTGAAGGGTTTTTGTTGTGTACCTGAGCTTAATTAACCGTCTTAAGATTCTATGGTCTATGGTCACTCGCTCCAGCAAGTATCTGTTTTGCAAACCGTATTATATTTGTTTACGGATCTCAATTTTAGTCGATGCTCTCGAACTAACATCATAACGAATCTTTTTCAGGAATGATCGTATCGGTTTTACTGATTCAACTGTTACTACCACTCTCAGGCGCGATCTTCCCTATAGGTACAGTGTTGGTCATTCAGTATTTGGTGCAGTAGTTTGAGAATGACTTGTTGCAATTGTTGTAAGTAAATCTTTCATGTAGAATGCAATATTTACAAACGGAGGTTCGACTTAATGCTCTGAAGCAAAAACTGTTGTGTAATGTCGTCCTTCCTAGTGAAGTAGTGAATCAAGGGAATGGAAAAATCGGGTGTAGCTTACCGCCAGACGAGACCATTTACTTTATTACGGCAACACTTGTTTACTTTGGTATACTAAGAATTATGTACTCGAAATCATAATGGGGTTTCTGAATCCACGGTACAATTTACTGTGTGCTTCCAGAATTTCATATCACTGGTCGTTTACTTTGTTTTGTAATCTTCAGCACCCGCCTGCGGATGCCCCAACATCAATCCGGCCTGTCCTCCAAATCCAGCTTGTCCTCCACAAGGATTTCCAATTCAACCGATGCAACCAATAATCAATGCCCCGGACGAGCTAGAAATGGTACTTTTCCGAGTTGAAAGATATTCATATATGTGGATTTGAAAACGTCGCATGAAATGGAGTCGTTCATGGAAACAGCCGCTGCAATCTACGCTTTAATGGCAGGGAAGTCCGCAGAGCACTCACTTATTGATTATCAAATAACTAAATTGAAGATTTTGGCTTATAGGATTCCCTGGGTGAGGAAGTAACCCAGTAGACCTAAGATAAAGCCTTCGAGCATTAATCAATCCCGCCTGAGGGA